TAAGTCAGTTCTGGGAATTAGAATGAATGGATTAAGAATAGTTAGCTCTGTTTATATACTTGGGCATGTTTTCATACATATGTGTATATATGTATACTGACTGTCAGGCATTTATTTTATTTTAAGATTTATTTACTTTTAGAGAGAGGGGAAAGGAGAGAGAAAGAGAAGGAGAGAAGCATCAATCTGTTGCCTCTCATACACTCTCAGTTGGGGACCCAGCCTGCAACCCAGACCTGACTGGGAATCCAGCCAAAGACCTCTTGGTTTGCAGGCGGGTGCTCAGTCCACTGAGCCACACCAGCCAGGACTAGGCAGACTCTTACATAATGTGTTTTCTTAATTGATTTATATAACCAATGGTAAATATTCTTCCCTGTATTCCTTTTTTAATGTATCAGTTTGTGTTATGTGTTATAAATAATCTTACTCATTTGAGAACCAATATCTTAGTTTCTATATACAGTCTTTTAGAGCAAATAGAGTATGATGGTTCTCTGTATAAGTATTATAAAATATTAATAATTCTAATTATAGTAATTATACATTTGGAGAGTTTTGATAGTGACATTTTTAAGTATAAAATTTTAGATTTAACCTTTTCAAAATTTGTGTGTTTATTAAGTTTTGGTTCTTTTTGTTATCAGAAAAGTCTTACCAAATGTAGTTATTAAAAAGCTTGAAAATAAATGAAAGTATTTCCAGGTTCTAAAAGCAAAAGAAAAATGGCTGTTTTATTACAAAATGTTAACACCGCTTGCATTTGAGTATCTTGGAAATTAATTATGCGAAAAAAACACATAAGAAATAAAAGTAATATATGAGAAAACTAATTGGATCTTTCAAATGATGGAAGGGGGAGAGAGAAGGTAACTAGTTATGGGAGATGTAGATTGTGAAAGTCATGATGTTATTGGCTACTGACCATGTTTTTTGGTAACTAGTACTTTGTAATTTCAGTAATTACAGTAAAGAAAGCGGAGCATATTTTAAGACAGTGATTTTTGCTAACTTTTTGGATCAGCACTTGAAACATTAGCTATATTTTATATGTATACATGAATCATATGTTTCTGTACCACTTTTTCTGTACCACTTTGACATAGACCAAAGTTTCAGTATGGGCATTGGGCAAATTATAATTTGGCAGAGAGAATCTGAAAAAATGTCATTGTAGTCATCCTTATAACTTTTTTACTTTCTTCATTTATTAGTAGTCACTTCATTTTATTTGACCTTCAATTAATTATCTTCCCTTCTTCTACTCTTTTGAAAGTGAAATTTTTCATCTTTGTCTACTCATGCTTCTTTCTCTTGAATGTAGACCAATAGTTTCTTTAATAGTTTTCACTGCTATACTTTTAAAACATCATCAAGATAGCTATTTTGGATAACAATTTAAGATAACTATATATCATCTTTAAGATAGTACACTGCTTCTTGGCACTGCTATCTTTAGGGTGATTTTTTTTCCCACAAATTTTTTTTTACTCTAATATTTTATCTTGATGCCTCTTACAGAGACCAGAATGTTTCTTCCCTAGAGGTGTGCCCATCTCACCAACATAAATGTGTATCCTTGCTTAAAAAATTAAGTCCTACTGATTTGATAATATGGTGATTACCGTATTTTTTGGACTGTAAGACACACGTTTAAAAAACTTTTGTTGTTGGTGTTTGTTTTTTAAATCCACATTTTTTGCTTCAATTTTTCCCCTATTTTCCTCCTCTAAAACCTAGGTGTGTCTTATGGTGCAGACCCCAGAGGCACCTAGATTTTAGAGGGGGAAATTTTTGAAGCAAAAAATGTGGTAAAGAAGTTGCATCTTAGAGTCTGAAAATACAATAATTATGTTTTCATAGTTAAAAGACATGATTCCAGGTTTTATTTCTGAAAAGCCTCTAAAAAAGTTTTGCTATTCTTTGGTATTTATTTCAGAGGGAGATTTTATTCTTTGTGATAATATTTAAAATAAAAATTTAAATATTTTTATATAAACATTTTAAAAGGGGGAGATATTTGTTATTTTGCCAGAGTCCTGAATTTGATGGTTAGAACTGCCGCTTTCATTTAGGATTGCCACAGGGATTTGACTTTGCAAGCTTTTACCCATTACTTGTGAGCACAGTGATAGCTAGATTTCCTCTGCTCTTGTCCTCTCAAGGTAAAGAGTCAGCTTTCAGTCTGAGGATTTCTTGCCAAAGCTACTAAATTCCTTATAAATCCAGTCTGATTCATGTCTTAGAGTTGAATGGGTAGTGACCTGCTTCATTGCTTAATATTAGGTTAAACTTGTAGGAACAAATACTCAGTATGCAGGCTCTGTGCAAGCTTCCCGTTGCCTGGATCTCAGATTCACCGATCATGTCTTCCAGTATTGTAAGAAATAGAGAAATTAATTAAGCATATTTGAGAAGCATTTTACTTTTCATTATCTTGGAATTTTGGTAATGTTATTTCAAAATTGTTAGCATCAAAACTAAATATATACAAAAGCATATTTGCCAGTGTTCTTAATTAGTTAATGGATGTCCCATTTTGCAGTTTTATTACTATTATTGCTGTTGTTTGTGTACTTCATGAATTTTTCAGTGTAAAGACTTAAACTTTTCTCCTTTATAAAAAGGCGTAACTCTTAACTATCGTAGTCTTCAGAGAATTGAGTGGAGTGAAATTGATTCTTGCCCTGGTAGGTATATAACACACTTTAGAGAATTAAAATTTTAACTTTAATCCTTCATATTCTACTCTCAAAATTTTTTGTTGTTGTAATTAATTTAACCACTATCTCTTCATTTTGAACACTTTATTTAGTAGCATCTTCTCTGCATTTATAACTTTGTTTTTCTATATGAAAATTCTTGGTCAGTTGCTTTGAATTCTTTGTCTTCTAAAGTGGGATCATTAGTTGCCTTCTCTTTGAATTCCTCATGTCAACATATAAATTTGATAAGTTCAGAAATGTCCTTTGAGCTTTTGACATTAATACATACATTGGAACCTCAGTGTCACATAATTTATTAATGAGTGGGATTTTACTTAAGTAAATTCTCTTAGACTTCATCCAAGAGCATTAAAAAGTTCTCATGTAATATGTATGCCATATTTAAAGAATTATTAGTATGTCTTTTGTTTTACTACATCAAGCAGAGTAGTCAATGAGGAAGAGCCTAGGATTAAAAAATTTGAAGCTTTTAACCCTTTTTTAATGTCTCAGGTTTTTTTTAAAATCTTTAGGGAGTCATAGCTTGATTATCTGTATTTATGGAAGAGATTTATTACTTCATGTCTGCATTATTCTTGACTTAGAAATAATATGATTTTTTGTACCAGAATTATAATACTAATTGTTTATCTTAGGGTTAACTTTTTTAAAAAGATATTATTTATTTATTTTTAGTGAGAGGGAAAGGGAGGGAGAAAGAGAGGGAGAGAAGCATCAACGTGTGAGAGAAACATGGATCGGTTGCCTCCTGCATGCACCCCAGTTGGGGACCAGGCCCACTTTTGCTCTGCTGGACAACACCCAGCTAATGCAGCCCCATTGGTCAAAGCCTTAGGGTTTAGCTTTTAAAGTTAGCTTATGTGTCTCTGGGCTTACAACAAATGCCAGTGGAGACTGTTGGTGTGGAAGCCTTGTAGTTGAGTTGGCAGGGGAAACAGCACTGGTCGCAGAAAAGTGTGAGGCTGGGTACTTGATGTGGGAGCCGTTGAAAGTTGATTATACGTGTATATGCCTGTCTTTTAGGTATGTTTGTAAAAGAATGTGATGGTGTTTATGAGGGACTTGAATATTCTAAAAAAAGTTTATTTAAATTTTGATACTGCCATGACAATATTTATCTGTCATCTATTGATTACATTTTTCAGATGACTGTGATTTCTCTGGATGCTTTTACACATTGCTTGTTTTGTTAAAACGTGTTGAATATAATTTAAAAACTACACAATATATTAGTTAATTTCCTAGTTAAACTACCATTTACATCTATCCCAGAGGATATTAACCCAGTTTATTGAAAACAAATGTAAATTATTTTACCAGAATAAGAAAACAAGGTAAGGTCATTGCTGTATGAATGAGTGAGAATCATTACTTTATTTTGCTCGATTCAAATGAGTTAAAGTTGCTCTGTGTTAATTACGAGAACACAGTTTGAGTGCCTTTGCAGCAGAGCAGGGAGTTTAGTGTGAGGAGGGGACCCAGTCATAGCGGTGGTTTTAATGGCAGTCTAAAAATTGCGATTCGGAACAAAACTCTTGAAGATAGTATTCTTATTTAAAGTAGTAAAGAGATAAAAAGCATTTTTTAAGTTGTTCGTAAAAGGCCTATTTTGTTCAATCTTTTATTAATCTTATATGGGTTGAAAATTAAAAAATATGTAAACTATGTTATAAGTTTGTAGTATCTTTTATATTATTGCAAACCCACATAATTACTGATAATTTAAAATGTCTTGCACACTGTTAATATTTAAGTGTAGTTATGGAAATTGTTAAATTATAATCAATTCTTGATTATTTATGCCACTGGTAGGAGAAATACAGTGTATATGGTAAAAAACAAGCATATATTAAATTTAACTCCAGATTCTGATGAAAATTTTCACAATAGATTTACTTTTGTAAACATTTATATAAGAGAAATATAAAATTGTGATATGTTTGAGGATTATGAGCTAGGTAAAAACTAGTGAAGATGATGTAGAAACATACAAGGAGGTCAGGGGAAACTAAGGTGGAAATGAAAAGTTTTCCATTAATAAAATGTACATATTATTGAGAGTTGACTATAGTGAGACGAACTTTGAAGGAATGAGTTTGGTATTTCACAAGATTTTTTTTTTAATGTATTTTATATATTTCCTTTTAATTGAAAAGTTACCGTGTTTAGCTCTAAGTAACAGTTTAAAAATGTAACTAGGAAGTAATAAATTGTGTCCTTTCTTTTTCTTTCATTTTTTTCTCTTTCTCTTTCTCTCTCTCTCTCTCTCTCTAGGGTATGAGTATTATAGAACAATTAGACCCTGTATCTTTTAGCAATTACTTGAAGAAATACCATAATACTATATGTGGAAGACATCCCATTGGAGTGTTATTAAATGTGAGTATCTTTAGGAAGACTTGATTTTTTTAAAAAAAGATTTTATTTATTTATTTTTAGAGAGTGGAGACAGGAAGGAGAAAGAGGGACAGAAACATCAACGTGTGGTTGCCTCTCATGCACTCCCCCCTAGGGACCTGGCCTGCAACCCAGGCATGTGCCCTGACTGGGAATTGAACCGGCGACGCTTTGGTTGGCAGGTTCGCGCTCAATCCACTCAGAAGACTTGATTTTTAACATCTGATCCTATGATGTTTTAAAATATCTTAAATATCTTAAGGCATTTGTGATACCTTATTAGCATTGGTTTTAAGTACATATAGTCCATTTTCTTTCTAGTACATTTAAGAGAATTTGAATTTCTGTTGTCATGGTTACTTGAATACAGTTATTTATCACTGAAAGTCAGGCCAGTACTTTCGTTTAAATACAGAAAGTTATTTAGAATGCACACCCATTTTCTCTAGATCCTCAGCCAATTCCAGTATGCTTTTTATAAATATAAACCAAAGTAACCTTTTAGGAGATATGCTCTTACTGATTCCTTGGTTTTTATTTAGGGTCCTATACTCTGTAAAAATAAATGGAAGGTTTTGATCTTGAACTTTAGTTATGTATAAGTTAATAAAGCAAGATAGATGACATGTATATATTTTTATATATTTTTCTCTTTACAAGAAATCAGTTCATTTTTAAGAAATGGTAGTAATAGAAGTCTTGGTTAGCTGGCTTTTCAAAGAGATAATAACATTATTTTTTCCACTAATAAAACAATATGGATTTTCTGAAAGAAAATGCAATACTTTTTAAGAATGAAGAAAGTTGTACTCGTTAACGGGAGGAGAAAGTCACAGTGGGCTCATTGTTTGGAAAGACAGAGACATCATGGAGAAAATAGGTGGTCTGCAATAGTCTAGGGTAGGCATTGAAAGTACAGTGCTAATTTAATGTGACGTGAAAGACACTGCATTATGATTTTTACTAAGGGTTTTCTCTTACTCAGTGTAGACTAATTGGAAGAAAAGCCTATTAAGGGCTTAAATTAATTTCTGAAATTTAAACTAGAATAAGCTCTATTAATATCAGAATTGAATCAAATAATATTTTTATATAATGATGAACCAATAAAAATTAAAGTAAAAATCCTGGTATACTTCTTGAAACTTAATTTATATACATTTCAAACTTAGGCGGAGTCAGACAAAGAAAAGACAACAACATCTCAAGGTAGTAGAAGTAGCTACGGTTTAGTTTAGAGAATAGAGAGAAAGATTCTATGAGTTACTTGTTTTTTTAAAGTGGACTTATTAAATATAAGGGCAGGAAGGGGTGGGAGATGACTGATACTATCTAGAAGCTATTTTGGGAGAACTTCTTTGATAGAATGAAGTAAATTCTCATTTATTCCCATTTAATGAGAAATTCAAGAAACAGGTGAAGAGTGAAAGAGATCTGGGCTTTGGCTGTGAGGTGGAAAAAGTTAAGCCACCAGCACATTTAAAGATGGCTCATTTTTTCTATGCTGACTGTTTTAACCACATTTTTCTTTTTCCAGGCTATCACAGAGCTCCAGAAGAATGGAATGAATATGAGCTTTTCCTTTTTGAATTATGCCCAGTCAAGCCAGTGTAGAAACTGGCAAGACAGTTCAGTGAGTTATGCAGCCGGAGCACTCACGGTCCACTGAAGCTCTGAGTCCTCAGGGATGCCACCTGCACATGCTCATTCTCTGTTCGGGGTCCCAGCCCAGCCCTTACCAAGATCCTGGTCCTGGTTTGGGGGGATTCTGAAACCTCAAACTAATAGAACTTTCTTCTCTTCTTTTCTAGTAGGTGTAGTCCTTCCTTAATTTCAACTCATTAAAAATGCTTTATAGTTTAGGGCAGTGGAAGGAAGGCTGGCATCAAATATTTTGATCAAAAAAGATGGCAATGTGATGGCCCAGTTGTGGCATTTCTTTTGAAAGTAACTTGTAAAGCATTTACCATATCCTAAACTTGCACTCTTTGCAGACTTGTGCACATATATTCCGCTTTCAGAATAGTTTTGCAAATTGTACACAAACAAAAAAGGTGGAAGCTTTTTAATAAAGAAATTGCATTTATAAATGATCTGTATTAGAATATAATAATTCTCCAGTTATAGTTCATTACTACCCGTGTTGTACAACAGATACCTTCTATTTTAGTTGCTAATAAAGGGCTACACAACTCAAAATAGTCTGATTTAAACTTATTGCTCTGTGGTACATATGAAAATTGTTTTTATTAATTCATCTCAGAATTTTTATGTTAAAAGTGGTAAACTTCAGCTCTTACAAAAAATGTTAGGATGTATTTTATATTTTGCATATTTATGTGATTTTTTTATCACAGATATCAGAATCATATTTTAAAGTTAACTTTTTAAATGACATACAGTTTGTTTTTGTGTGTGTGGCATCACTTTGTGTCATTACTCTAATGTATATTCAAGATTGGTAAAAGAGCATAGATGTAGTCCTTCCCTTCAAAGACCGTGTTCAGTAGGCAGTGGTCTGCAAATGAGGAAACATTGGAGCATGTCCTAAAGTTTTTCGAGTCATTGCAGACCATACACTACTGCTATGCTTTTTTAGTACTCTAAGCAATTTGACTTGAATTTTTAGTAAGAAATCGTTAACAATAATAACAAAAAGCCACCAGATTTTCTTACAGTTCTAAAATTTTTTTGTCACAAATTTTGGTGCGGCTCTTCCAACTAAAATAATGGTATGGTGTTGTATTTCTTTCTTTAGCATAGACCAATTCTAGTCACTTTGGGGAAAAATGTAATTCAGTTAGTTAATTATTGGCCACCATGCATGTAATAGATTATACCTGTTTGAATCTAACACTGGGTACCTTTATTACATTGGAGAATGTTTGTATCTCCAGTGTTATGCCAGAATAGCACAATTTTTAGATGCCTTGCACCAATTTTATTTTAAGATTGCATATCTTATTTACTAAATATCAACTTTATATGTGCAAGAATTAAGATAAAATACTGCTATCTTTTGGATTCAAAATTACTCACCTATACATGTGTGGAAATTATACTCCTACATATTACTGATTTATTTCCCATCATTTGTATACACTTTTGAGTGCTATAAATATTTATTCCTTATTTATTATATAGACTATAAAAATTTCAGAATTGACTATAAAATGAATTTTTAATGTTTTCTGAGTATAAAACTAATTATTACTATTATGGAAAATTTAGAAAATACCAAAAAGTCTAAAAAAGAAAAAATTATTTGCAATTTCACTATCAGATAACACTGTTAATAATTTTTGTATTTTCTTTCAGACTTTGTCTATGCTATTTATATGTATGAGTGTGTATATGTGTTTGTGTGTGTGCATAATAACAATATTGAGATTATATTGACCAGATAGTTGTATAGCCTACGTTTTATAACTTAACATCATAAGTACTTCCCCATGTCTTTGAAAATGTGATTTTTAAAAATGGCTGCTTAATATTCTATTGTATGACTATACCATAATGGAACCCGTTCTCTTTTTGGATATTAGATTGTTTCTAATATTTCACAATTATACATAATAGCAGGATGGACATCTTTGTATGTGCAACTTGAACTCTATATTAGACTAGTTCTATAGGGTCTATTCATGGGAATGGGGTAATTGGTTTAGATGCTGAGAACTTTTTAGGCTCTTTAAAATATGGCCAAATTCCCCTTAGAAACTTTGTGCCAAATTAGCAATATATGAGTACTCATACTGCTCCTTATCCACTATTATTTTTTTAATCTTTGACAGTTTATTTGACAGTTTGTGTTTGTTCTTTTGATTATTCTAATTAATGAGTGGCTTTACAATGAATCATTTTTTCTTCTGTAATTTTCTAGTTGATTGTTTAATAAAAAACACAAGAGGGTTGCTTAGGTTGAGTGGGCAGTAGCCTTATTAGTATGTTTACTGTACATTTGAAACTCTAGAATATTTCAACATCATCTACTCTTTCCTAGAATATATCTTTCATACTTAGTCATTAAGTAGAAAGAGTTCCAAATTGATAGTTGAATGTTGGGTTCTAGTTCTGCCTCTGCTGCCAATTAAACCTCTCACCATAAATATTTCATGTTGTATCAAAACTTTCTCATTCGTGAAATGTGGAAGTGATCTGCTAAGCACTTCTAATTTCAAAACACTTAAATGTTCTGACTTTAGTCTTTAGAGATTTTGGTGTCATTCATGTTAAAAGTCTACATGATTGAATTGGAAGTATTATCTTGTGATTTCAACTCAACATACATGAAAATGAAAAGTGTAACATACATGAAAATGAAAAGTCTTTTTAAACAGAAAAGAAAAATTAATATGTGCTATTTAATGTGGTCAATGTTACCTGGATTGTTGAACTTAAGCTTTCCTACTTTAAGTGCCTTTAAAAGTGTTTGTATTTGAAATCTGAAATGTAAAGGAAATTATTATGCGGTTCTATATAGGGTTTTTTGTTTTTTTTTTACTTTGAGTTAGTTGCAACTTTCTTTTAAACCTTAGATTACACAGAGCAGTGTATTCATGGATTCTTCACTATTTCACTAGTGAGTTCTTGAGATGTATGCTAAAGATTAGCTCAGTGAGCAGGTAAGTAATTCTTCATCTTGGGTGGGCAACAGATCTTCATTCAGAGTAGGATAAAGGCCTGTTAAAATATTCTGGTGTTTATATTTAGATACTTCAATATGAATGGTAGGGATCCCGAGTTAATTAATGGTTATTGTTGCAGATCTCAAATTTTTCTTTGGTAATGAATTTATTCATTACCCTAGATTAAAGGTTGGCAAATGTTTTGGGTAAAGGGCCACATAGTAAATATTTTGGATTTAGCCTAGTAAATATTTTGGGTTTTGCATGCCAAATGGTCTCTGTTTCGTCTATTTACCTTTGCTGTTGTAGCACAAAAACAACCATAGACGATGTGTTTTACTCAGACACAAAAAGACACTGAGCTGGATTTGGTTCATGCTTGGTAGTTTGCTGTACCTGGCCCAGGATCGTATAGTTCACTTGCAGTTAAAATAATTGGCTAATAATTTAAACTGCAACAAGTGGTTGTAAAATCCTAACCCTCTTAATTTGATGCAGTCTAGTTTGCTGGGTTTGAGTGTTATTTAGGATTATAAAAGGTAAGTGGGAAGTGGGTAAGGGAAACTAGGAACTCTTAGGAACTTGTGTTAAAGCACTTTGAAGCCCTTTTATTTGCTGGACACCACTGGAGGTTTGCTTTGCTGCCATGAATTAAGAGTGACAAGTGGGGGTTCTGATTGGTTATTGCAAATTATATAAATTATTCCAAGCACTTGGCTACCTAAATGGTGGTAAAGAATGGATCAAATGGACCTTTTTATCTGAGCATTTTAGGACACTAAACCAGTAATCTAAGGGAGATTGTGAAATGTGAGACTTTATTTTGCCATGTAAAGACTTTTGGAAAAACAACTACTATTTCCTATCAACAACAATTTACTTATCCCCACTCCCAATATTTAGGAAGGATATAACACTCAGAATAAAAGAGTTGTTTAACCTGAATAATTTTAAGTTGATGGAAAAATTACTACCCTCTTCTTTTCTCATTTACTCCAGATCACTGGAAACTTCATCAAGTTCTAGTCTGTGGACTGGCTGTTGGGAAGGGCTGTGGTAGAGTTTCCGAAAGGCCAGATGTAGTGAGAAAACGGTTGTGGATTAGGAGATGTAATTGGCCCCATGCACGCTGACATTCAGACTAAAACCTTTATATTACTGTGTTAAATTTAAGAGCCACATATTCCGAGGGACACTAGAGAGGCAACCAGAGCGCTGGAAGGCCTGAGTGCCGTGGGAAGTGGCCTGCAGTCAAATAAATCAGGGAGCTTTATTCTGGAGAAAAGTTTAAAGAGAGGGAGTTTTCTTCAAATATTTGCATGCCTGCCATGTGTAAGAAGGAATGCAATTCTGTGTTGTAGAAGGAAAATTTAATTGTAAGAAGTAGAAGTTTCTGGTTCCATATTTAACATTCTATACGAGAATTTCTAAGTGAAAATTGACTCTCTTCTCATAAAATCATTGGAAGTATTCAAGCAAAAGCTAGATCTGGGGGGTTCCCAAGTAGGACCCCCCATACAGTCAGCCTCAGCATCACCCGGTATATGGTTGGTATAGATCCAAGATCATGGGTCGCCAAGCTGAAGAAAGCCAAGGAATTAGTACAAGTAGAATGAAACTTACTTCATTTGTATAAAACTCTTTAAGGAAAGTAATTTTTAGGTAAAATTTTATTTTAATCATTTAACACTAACCCTCAACACAGATTATAAATTGATGATTGTTACTTAATTGTTAGTGGTAGAACACTAGGCCCTTAGAATAATTAATGTACTTTAAAAAAATTAAAACATTTAAATATAAGGTAAAAATTCTACCACTTACTAAATTTAAGTTGATCTTTGAATGAGTAATTTAGTTTTATTAAACACAGATGCTTCTTGATTCTACCACAGAGCCATATCATTTGCAGAAAAGGGTATTGAGGGCACTTGTTCTTTTTATAGCTGTTAATGTCAACATAGTAGAAGGGGCACCAGCAGCAGCTGGCAGGTGTTTTCTCTGCACTCTTCCTCTTCTGCCCCGCAAATAGAACTGCGGGCCATGTCACAGTGTCATCACTGACCATGCTGTATGTTTGGTGATGTTACTCTCCCCCAATGCTAGTAACTGGGCCCTCTGCCTGTCATGAGTTCATTGACATATTCTGGTTGTTCGGTATGTGAAGAATGTTAGGTTTTTAGATCTGTCATTTGTCCAAGGGTCCTACAGTGATCCCAGAGTGGTTTGTACCCAGGGGTATTACATTTGTTCTGTGTGTGTGTGTGCTTAATTCTAATGTAAGATTTTGGCCAATCACCCTATAAAAATAATGGAAAAGAATTTAAAAGCCAACTTCTCCTGATTTTGAAAGCCATAATGTAATACAATTGGTTTTTTAATAGAAATTGTAAATTATGTTCAAATGCGTATTTTATACTATAAAGTGAGGTTTGGAACTTTACTAGATGTAGTCTTTTTTTTTTCCTGTCAATCTAATAATGAAACCAAAGAGAATATAAATACCATTATTGAGAAGCTATTGAAGGCCAAGTGTATTCGACTATGAATAAGACTTGCGTTCTGGTTTTCAAATCTGCCAATGTGAACTTTTGGAAAATATTTTAATTTTTCTGACCATGATAGTCTCTGAATTACTTACTGAATGTGATGTTAATGACATTTAAGTAAAAAGTATTAAAAAGGTGAAAACTAAAAAAATCTAGAATGATATATGACACTGGATTTTGTGAATTTTTAAAATTTAAATATTTAGACTGTTGAACTAGATGTAATAAAAATATTTTTAACTTAACAATTTTATAAATGGAAATTTTTTCTAAGTTTTTTTCCATTTAAAATTTAATCATTTGAATCTAGCACATAATACACATTTAGTTGGTGTTCGTTCAATTTTGATGAATTGAATTTTAAAGGAAGGAGAACAGGAGGCAATCTTCTTCATATGAAATGTTTTCCAAAGGACAGAAAACCAACCTTTTAATTGGAAGTATTTTTAAAGTTGCTTTTCTTCATTTTTAGTTTTTAGTTGTAGAAACAAGCTTCCTTACTAATTTTAAAACATGGCAGGATTTAATATTCCAAGTCTTTGTGTAATGCCAAATGAAATGAATGGTGATGTATGTGATCTGGTAAATTTGAAACCCTTGGCCCATGATTCTTGGCTCATATTTTGCAATATCCTATGGTGTTTACTGTTACTTAAAAAGTGTTGCAAAGTTTTTATAGTAACTAATTAAAATGTGCTTTTTTGCTGCTCTACCCTATGACATGTCCAGCCAAATCGCAAGTAGAAAGATGCTTATGGAGTGCTAGACACTTGGCACTGGTCACCGTTTTCAGCTTTGCCAGGGAACTACTGCTGATTTGCTGGAATAAATTCCTGCTGTCTTCTGGAGAAGAGTTTATTTCTTTACTTCTATGAGTTAGAATTGAATACTATGATTCCTAAGGACCTTTGACCTTTCATATTTTGTGACCATAATAAAA